CTGTGTACTGGGGGGCTTTGGGGAGAAAAAGGGGGCGGGGAGAAAAGAAGATTGGCAACAGATGTTAGGTCAGGTGCCAATCTTTAAAAAAAAAAAAACCAAATGAAATATCACCTCACACCCATTGGGATGGCCACTATAAAAAAAAAAACCCACCAAAACAACCCAGCAAATAACAAGTGATGGTGAGGATGTGAGAAACTGGAACCACTGCGCACAATTGCTGGGGATGTAAAATGCGCACAGCCACTATAGAAAGTCCTCCAAAAATTAAACCTAGAATTACCGTATGATCCAGCAATCTCACGTCTGGGTATAGATCCAAAAGCATTGAAAGAGGGTCTCAAAGAGATATTGCACACCCGTGTTCACAGCAGCAGAATTCACAATAGCCAAGAGGCAGAAGCAAGCCAAATGTCCATCAGTGGAGGAATGAATAAAGAAAATGTGGTCTATACATACAATGGAATATTCGGCCTAAAAAAGAAGGAAATCCTGTCCTGTGCTGCAACATGGATGAACCTTGAGGACGTTATGCTGAGTGAAATAAGCCAGTCACAAAAGGACAAATACTGTGTGATTCAGTTTACACGAGGTCACGAGAGCAGTCAAACTCACAGAAACAGAAAGTAGAATGGGGGTTGCCAGGGCGGGGGGTGGGGAGGAGGATGGGGAGGTGTTCGACGGGGTCAGAGCTGCAGATTTGCAAGATGAAAACTTCCAGAGATCTATTTCACAACACTGTGAATGTTCTTATCACTAAACTGCAAACTTCAAAAGGGTTAAGATGGTAAATTTTATGTTATCTTTTACCCACAATTTAAAGAAACATGGAGACACTGATGGCCAAATCGTGTTAAATTTTGGAACGCACCCCGTACCCTCCCAGGTCGCCGAAGTCCTTGTTTATTGAATTTGCAAACGTCAGGAACACGGATGGGTTATTTCACAAGGTGTCTGGTGTAGGTTGTATCAGTTAGGCATGCTTTTCAGGCGGAAGGAACAAAAAGCTGGTTTCTTGGTGCTTAAACACAGGGTGTATTTTTTCCATGCAACTAGAGCGGGCAGCTGCTGGCGCTGGGTCAGCAACTCCCTCTTTGAGCGCCATTTTCCTTAGCGTCCTGCAGGCTTCAGCTTCGGCCTCCTTGGTTAGAAGTGTGTGCAGGGCAGTAGAGGCTGGGAAAAGAACCGTGTCACCTAGGCAAGCCACACTGCCGCCCTGAACAAAGCTGGGGTGTTGTCAGCACAGGAGAGGGGACAGGGGCACGGGTAGACCACTGCCAGATCTGCTTTGTAGGACCAGAGTTATGGTGTAGGCTCAGCTCTCATGCCACCTCCCCCGAGAAGCTTTCCTTGACTCCACTCACATCTTATTGTCTGTCCTTCCAACAGGAGGCAGGGACTCTTATGAATCTGTTCGCTCCTGTATCCCCACCGCCTAGAACAGGGCCTGGCCCGGAGTAGACGCCCGATCAGGATTTGTTGGCTGAAAATAAGATCAATGCGGCCTAAGCTGGAATAACAGGCTTTTTTTCCGAACTGACGAAACGATAATAAAGTTCATCTGGAAATATGTGAAGATAATTCTGAAAAAGAAGAGGAATGACAAGGGCCAATTCTATTAAAACACAGTTTGGTAGAAAAGAAGTAGCTAGACCAGTCAACGGAGTGCTGTGGAGCGCGTGTTCTTGGCCCTGGCTTCACACTAGAGCTGCCTAAAGTGCTTCTAGAAAACAGACGAACAAAACAAAGCGATCTTTGGCCTCCACCCCAGAGATTCTGATCCACCGGGGTGGGACCTGGGTTTGGGGTTTCCTTAAATGTCCCAGATGATTCTGATGTGCGGCCAGGATGGAGAACCAACAGGCGGCGAGTCCTGGAGCAGGTCCGAGGGCAGAGGAACACGTGATTTACGGTGAAGGGGCTTTTCAAATCGGTGCCCACAGGAAGGGTTCTTCCATTAGAGATGCTGAGATGATTCCTTGACCGTTTGGAAGGAACCCTGGATCTTCACTCGTCTCACCAGAATAAACCCCATATGGGTCAGTTTTAAATGTTACAAAAAGAAGATGGAGGAAAACGAGTGAAGATTCTTGAAGTAGTTGTGGATAAACTTATACTATAGTGGGCAAGACGTTACTAAGCCGGTTATAAGCCTAAAGAGAAAAAGTTAATAACTTTGAAAACAAGGGGCTGGCCCAGTGGTGCAGTGGTTATTTGTGCACATTCCGCTTCTCGGCAGCCAGGGGTTCGCCCGTTCAGATCCCGGGTGTGGACATGGCACCGCTTGGGAAAAGCCATGCTGTGGTAGGCGTCCCACATATAAAGTAGAGGAAGATGGGCACAGATGTTAGCTCAGGGCCAGGCTTCCTCAGCAAAAAGAGGAGGATTGGCAGCAGATGTTAGCTCAGGGCTAATCTTCCTCAAAAAAAAAACCAACTTTGAAAACAAAATAATTGATTTCTGAATGTCACAAAATAAAAGAAGTCAAAAGACAAATAAAAAAAAAGACAAATGACAAACTGGAAAAATATATTTACAACACATGTGCCAGACAATGGGCTATGTTTTCTTGATTAACAAAGAGCTCAAATCAGTAGTATGATCCTGACACCTATTATAATGTGTGGGTTTTTTTCCCCACATCACCAGGCAATTCTGGGACACCAGCTGGGTGTCCTACAATTCAACTCAATTCAAAGAACCCAACAGGAAATCAGGCAGCAGATTTGAAGCAGCAATTCATGAAGATGCTCAACCTCACTCAAAATGAAAAGAAATGCCTATTAAAACAACACTGAGTCCTAGGTGTACACCCAAGAGAAATGAAGTCACACGTACACAGAGAAACGTGCACACGCATGTTCACAGAAGCGTTATTCACCAGAGCCAAAAAGTGAACAACCCCATGTCCAGCACCTGATGAATGGACACACGAAATGTGGTCTATCCACACAATGGACTGTCATTCACGCATAAAGAGGGATGAAGCGCTGACGTACGCTCAACGTGTGAATACTGAAAACATGAGTGAAAGCAGTCAGACACAAAAGATCACATATTATGTGATTTCGTTTTTACGAAATGTCCGGAATAGGCAAATCTATAGATGCAGAAAGTGGATTAACGGTTGCTAGAGGCTGGGGGGAGAGAGGATATGGGGCAGTGACTGTTAATGAGTATAGGGTTTCTTTTCGGGGTGATGAAAATGTTCCAAAATTGATTATGCTGATGGTTGCGTGACTCTAAATATACTAAAAACTATGAATTGTACATTTAAAATAGGTGAATTGTATAGCATGTGAATTATATCTCAATAAAGCTTAAAAAAACCCACTGAGATATGATTTTTCACCCTTCAGATTGGCAAAATTAATGTGTAGGGAGATAGACTCATTTATTGTTGATAAAAGTATAAATTAATTTCACCTTTTTGAAGAGCATTTTGGCAATCTAGTAGAATTAAGAATGCACAAACCAGGGGCCTGGTGGCACAGCAGTTAAGTTCGCACATCCCGCTTTGGTGACCCAGGGTTCAGCAGTTTGGATCCCCGGTGTGGACCTATGCACTGCTTGGCACGCCACGCTGTGGCAGGCGTCCCACGTATAAAGTAGAGGAAGATAAGCACGGATGTTAGCTCAGGGCCATTCTTCCTCAGCAAAAAGAGGAGGATTGGCAGCAGTTAGCCCAGAGCTAATCTTTCTCAAAAAAAAGAAGACACAAACCCTTTGACCCAGCGCTTCCGTTTCTAACTGACCCTATGGAGTTACTGACAGTACATCCAGGTACGCCAAGGAGCAGTTGGGGCGGTGCAGGAGCAAGGAAACCGGAAACAAATGCACATGATGGAATAAAGCACACCATTACGAAGGAGGAGTGAGACTAGGCCACGCCGATGTGGAAGGATCTGCAGAGAGGAGTCTTAGGTGAAAAGCTGGTAAGGTACAAAACAGCAGGCAGAGCGTGATTCTCTTTTTATCAGTAAAACGCCAGTGAAGCAAAGCATGCATGAAGGAAGTGCCAAGAGCGATCATCTCCGAGGAAAGGGACTGCGATACGAAAGAAGGTTTTCCTTTTCATTTTCTGATCTTTTGGAGCTGTTTGAGTTTCCTAAGTGTGTGCGTGCATTAACTTTATTTTCAAAATGCCACTGGGATTATCTGTGCGGCAGCGTTATAAGCCATTTTCATTTTCTTTATGCTTTACTGTATTGAAAACCTTTGAAAATCTCCTGCATTCCAGAAAAAGCTGTGGTGGTTCTCAGTGTGTGTGCGTGTGCGTGTGCGTGACATACTGCTGTTCCCCAAAGGACCCACTTAGCAGCCACTCTGGCCCTGGGTCTCCCATCCTCAGGAAAAGGCAGTAGGAGGGCTGGGGGAGGCTTGAGGGGGCGGGGCCAGCTCTAAGGGCCAGAGGCTGGCGCTCAGAGTGGGGGCCAAGCCTCTCCCCAGAAGCAGCTCCCGCCTCCTCCTCCCCAGCCCCTGCCCCCGCCCCCACCCCTGCCTGTGCATCTGTGTGAAGCCGGCTCACATCAGGTGGGTAGGTGTGGGGTTGGGGGCCCAGGCGAGGAGGCAGCAGTGGGGTCTGCTCCTCTGAAACAGCAAAGAGCACCTACGCGGCTGGGTCCCAGAGGATGCTCTGTTGTTGGGGAAGCGGCCGGGCTGGGGCCTGACTTCTGCGTGAGGGCTGCAGTGGCCTCTGAAGGCTGCTGCCCAGACAGGCCGCTGACAGCAACTGAGGCCTGGAGCCACAGGTGCGTGTGTGCATGAGCGAGTGTGTCTGGGAGTCGGGGGCGCCTGCGCCCGTGCTCCCACAGTTTGTGAGCTTAGACGTCCGTGTTTCACGCATGTGACAGGAGCAGCTGTGCTGCTACACTCCAGGGCCCTCGCTTCCAAGGGCCCCTCCAAGGCTCTGTCTCTCATTTGTATTCATAGTTTTCATCTTCTTTTTTTGAAAAACAGCCCCCTCCCCCAATAAATAAACATCAGAACCAACAGAATCAAGTCTGCCCCAGCATATTTATATCCTATGGCGTCGCCTGTTTATCATGGCTGTGTCTGCCTCCCTCCCTGCCTGCCTGCCTCTCTCCCTCCTCCCTTTCCTCCTCCTCCCTCTCTTCCTTCAATCCTTGTTTTCCAGGAACTTTCCCTTCTGGGGAAGAGGAACGGTGATGAAGACACTCTGTTCAGAGAGGTTCCAGGATGCACGGGAGTGTCTTGTGGGCCGTCCCCGCTTCGTCCTGGGACAGTCAGCAAAACCGAGACTGGAAGAATCGCAGGGGTGGCCAGAAGTGGCCTAGGCATGGTGGCACGCACTGTGGGTGTGTGTCTGTGCCTGCCTGTGCATTTGTGTGTGTATCTGGGTGTGAGGCAGTGGGTGTGTGCCTGTGGCTGTGGGGTGTTTGTCTCCCTCTGTGTGTGCTGCTGACGCAGAACCCGCGTGAGGGAGGCCAGGCGGCCGTGGGCTGATGAGTTCCCGTGGCCACAGAATTCGCTCAGGGCCAGTCCCGGCGGCAGAGCGAATCGCTGCTGGGGCCGGAGATGGGAGTGACGATTTCATGCTGCCTCGGGTGTCCCAACAGCCCTGCCGGTCTTGAGAAGCCCTGCCAACCTCGTCTGGCTGAGGCTGAGGCCAGAGGCTCTAAAAATGGTCCCAGGGGCTCTAACAGATGCAGTGATTTCTCGTCCTTTGGGCATCACCAGGTCACGGGTTGGACCAGCTCCTTGATTTGGGGGATGGATGGATGGCAGGTGCAGGTGGCCAAGCCCGAGTGTCAGGTTTCCACGGCAACAGACATGTGAATGCTCCAGGTCAACGAGACGTCTGCAGGCAGGATTGGGACAGGGTCAGTTCTCAAGCCCAAGTCATTCCTGTTACACAGTTGGCTCAGAGAGGGCTGGACAGACCGCAGGGTCACCTGGAACAACAGTGGTTATTCTCTGCTCACCCCCACCCCCCAGATCCACTCGCCACAGTTTTCACCCACTCTGTGTCACCCCACCGAAGCTGACCTCCATGGACACCAGCACCTGGGCTTCCTCACCTTTGGCTGTTGTTGGGTTCAGCCAACGGGAGGCACCAATGGGAGGCACCCTCCTCCCTCGGAGGGTGGGAAGAGAGAAAGTTGGGGTGTTTTCCCCACCCACTCCCAGTTGGCAGTGGCCTGTCTCTCTCCAGCCACATCTCTTCTCAGGACCGGTGGCCCACAGCTGCAGCTCCCGCTGGTTCCAGGAAACCACCCCGCCCCTCCTCCCTTCAGGGTTGGGGTGAAGGGTTTCCACTGTTGCCAGCCCAGGAGCTGCACCCCCAACCCCCATACCTGGGGTAATAGCCCTCCATTAAACTCTTTTCAATAAGCACAGTTGAGTGTGTACCCACTGTCCTGCCAGGCCCTGATGGGCACACGGTGTCCACCACCTTTTCCTGCTCCTCTGATCTCTGGGCCTTGGCACTTGCTGTTTCCTCTGCTTGTTTAAAAATCGTCTCTTCATCAATAAAACAAACAAAAAAACACATTTTACATATTGAGCAGTGCTTGGCACTCATTAAAGGTTTAATGAATGCCAACTCATGTTACTGTTGTGTTATGTCCAAGTTGGCAGGGTTCTGGGATGGAAGTAGAGGTGCTTACTTGAACTTGAGGGCATGGTGTTGATACTGTAATACGATGTGTCATTTTTTTTTTTTTTTTAGGAAGATTAGCCCTGAGCTAACTACTGTCAATCCTTCTCCTTTTGCTGAGGAAGACTGGCCCTGAGCTAACATCCATGCCCACCTTCCTCTAGTTTATATGTGGGACGCCTGCCACAGCATGGCCTGACTAGCGGTACCATGTCCACATCTGGGATCCGAACGGGTAAACCCCAGGCCGGCGAAGTGGAACGTACGCACTGAACCACTGCGCCACTGGGCCGGCCCCAGATGTGTTGATTTCAATTACTACTTACCAATACTGAAATGTTGGATCTGTGCCAATTCGTATTCCTCTTTGCTGCATTTCTGCAGTTAATGTTGTCATTTGTATGTCTGTAGTTTTCAAAACAAATGTCATGTCATGGGGGTTTCTTATACATTTTAACCTAAAATATATTCCAAGATTGCATGAAAGGGGGGAAATGTTTTATTACGATATTTTAAAATAACGTATAGATGGTTAAAAAGGGAAAGACAGCTGTCTCTTCCAAGGGGCCTTTCTGGCCACCGCCTAAATCAGGGGCCCCACCATTCTCTCCCACCATCACAGCTGGCGCCTTTCACAGCAGTAGTCACATTCTGTAGCTGTGACTGTCTCCCAGTTTAAGGTTGTCTCTCCCACTACACCATGAGCATGACCAGGGCTTTCAGACCTTGCCTGCTGGTTCTCTGCTGTGTCCCGCGCAGCACCTTAGCGAGGGGACACCTAGGATGCTGTAACAGAGAGGCCCCCAACACAGCCAGAATAGCAGAGTCCATTTCTCCCACAGGTGACCCAGCGGGCAGCAGACCACCTCCCTCCTTAGCCACACGGGACGTGACTTGAAACCTTCTCACAAGAGCAGTCCCACTCTCTGTGGCCTCAGCTCACTGATCCAGTCTGCCCGAGACCCTCATTCTCCCAACAAGAGGCTCATCCACGTGGGTTCCCAAACCACAGCGCGAGCTCCCTGCAGGGAAGTCGGGATCTCACAACCACACAGGGCCGCCGCACACTTGTCCTCGCTTGTTGTCATTAACTGTTCCTTTCTACCTTCTCTGGCTATAGTCTACATCTGTCCACATCTCTGACCTTTGGGCAGGTTATTTGACCATTTGGTGCCTCCGTTTCTTCATCTGTAAAATGGGGACAAGCATAGTTCACCATCTGGGGCTGTTATAAGCATCAAATGAGCATAAAGCTTTTAGAATGGAATCGCACACGCTGGGTGCTCCTTAAATAATCACCAGCATTACCATCTCTTTTGGTTCTCTCGACTTGGAGGTAGGTGGCAGATGCAGAAAGGAAGGACCAGAGGGCTGAAGCAGCTTGCCCAAAGCCACGTGGCCGACCCGAACCGCAGTGACCTAGTGGTAAAACTGGGGTGATGACAGCGTCCCCTCAGAGGGTTAGCGTGCCCTCACACAATCAAGAGAGGGCACACAGGGCCGTGCAAAGCCCGCGCCCTGCCCTTCACGGTGCACACCCTGTCACCAGGGCCGGGAGCCACCAGGGACCCCAGCGCGCGGCTCCTGGCAGCCCCCGGGCCAGCTGCTTCTGTCTGGTTGGGGGCACAGCTGGGCCGCAGAGAGGCCCATTGTCCCGTCCTCTGGGCTCCATTGTTGGGGCCTCCTCCCGGGCCAGCCGGGGTTTGTCCTGGTCCCCGCGGGGCGGGCGGACGGGCTGGGGCCGGGGCAGCGCGCGCATAGCTGCCCGGCTGTACCCCGGGGACTGGCCGCCAGCCCGGCTCCACGGAGCAGGGGACCGAGGCTCGGAGAGCCCAAATGACTCGTGTGCCTGTCTCGCGTCAGAGCCGCCAAAGGTTCGAGGGCGCGCGGGTGGCCGTGGGCGCCGTTAGGTCGCAGATTGCAGGGCCAGAGCCGCCGCCCCCATCCCCACTTCACTCGCGGAAACACAGGCGCAGGGCGCGGACGCCCGCCCAAGGTCGCGCAGAGACCCGCGCGGGGCGTGCCGGGAAGCCAGGAGTCCCGGCTCCCGCCGGGCGAGCGCAGCAGCGCGGCGGCGCGGCGACGCCGCACGTTCGGAGCCTCTGTGACGCGCCGCGGCGGGCCCTCCCGCGGCCCTCCCCGAGGGGCGTGGCCTCCCGAGCCAGGCAGGATGCCACTGGGCATTTGCCTGCGGAAGGCGGGACTTGGCGCTTGATGGGCGTTGGGGGCGTGGCTTCCTGCTGACGGGCGAGCTCGGCGCAAGACTCCATCCCTCTGTGACGCAGGCGCGTGGGCGGGCGGGGTGGAGCGAGCCCGCCGGAGCTCTGCCCCGAGCGGAGGCGGCCGCGGCCGGGGGCGTGTCCTGGGCGGGGCCGCGCCCCGCCCCGCTTGGTCGCGGAGCGGTGGCCAGCGCAGGGAGGGCCAGGCCCCGGGATGTGAGTGCGGCGGGGTGGGGGCGCCGAGCCAAGCCCCCGGGGTTCCCGGGGTCCTCGTGGGCGGGAGCGCGAGTGCGCGGGCGGCCGGGCGGGCCAGCCAGGTGCATGTCCAGGTATGGCGGGAGAGGGGGCGCTCGGGCCGGGTGCACCCAGTCCGGCCCCGCGCGTCCGGCCAGCTCCGCGCCACCTCTCTGCGGCCGGGGGTCCGGCGCCAGCCGCGGAGACCCGACCCGGGCGGGGGCCGGCGACATGCGCGGGGCTGCCGTCTGCCCTACCTCGGGCCCCACCAGCTGTGCTGAGGCCCCCGCATAGGCAGCAGCTGGAGCCGTTTCTGGTCCCTGTGAGGCGGCTGCGGAGGTTTGATGGGGGGGTGTCAGCTGCGCAGCGGGGCCCGAAGTGACCCCCATCCCTGGCTCGGGGTTGGGCCACAGCCTGCGTGAGCCCCGACCTGCTTTTTCTGGGACTGTCACCCCCAGCTCTCACGGGTAGGGCACTTTCTGTGCTCTGCTGTTTAGATGCGTGATCTCAATCCTGGCAACCGCCACACGTCTTGCAGTTGAGGAAACAGGCCTACGGCCACACAGCTGTTGGGTGTAGTTGTCGTAATGTGGAGGTGAGGCGCGGAGGCCTTGCAGCCAGACACACCTGGGTGCACGTTGGCTGCTCCACAGAGCCGCTGTGTGACCTTGGGCACACCTGGGCCCCTCTCCAGGCCCCCGGTGGGATGTGCTGGTGCCTGCCTCCCGGGGCTGCTGTGAGGGCTGGGGTGGAGGGTGCAGGGCAAGAGCCAGTGCTCAGTAAGGAGCTGCTTTTGTCGTTCACGCTGTTGCTGAGTGGCCCTCTTTCTGCAGCTGAGGGAGCTAGTGGTACTGGGTCAGGGCTGTTTGGTGAATCAAAGTTGGCTGGCGGGGAGGGGAAGCTGCTTTCCACACTGAGCCTGCCCCATCTGTGTGTCTGTCCCTATGCATGTGGAAGGCCACACTCAACCCAACTGTACCAGCATGTGCCGGAGACACGCTGGCCCATTGTGTACTCACCGCGCTACAACATAACCTTCATGGGCCTGGAGAAACTGCACCCCTTTGACGCGGGAAAATGGGGCAAAGTGATCAGCTTCCTAAAAGGTATGGAAGGCCCCACCTGGGATGCTCCATCTCCTTCCTCCAACCCATCTGCCCCTCCCACGCCCTCCCTGCTGTCTTTCCCTAAGACGAGCTTCAGCCTCTCCCACCTCCAGTCTCAGCCCTCAGACTGCCTTCCACCCCTGCTGTCAAAAGAATCTTTCCAGTAGACTTCTAATCATGACGTGTCCCTGTCTCAAACCTTCACTGACTCCTGTTGCTGTGGGCCTAAGTGCTGTCTCTGCCCTGGAGGCCCAGTAGAAAGGGAGCTGATTGATGATGGACACAGGGAAGCTGAAGTTTGCAGGAATCCAGTGTTCGTGCCCCACAAGCCCAGAGAGTCCAGGAGGTAGAGAACCTTTGCTCCAAGTCCATTGGTTACAAGTGGAGGAAATTGGGGCCCAGAAAGGCTAAGAAACCTGCCCGAAGTCACACAGCTGCTAAGTGGCAGAATCGGATCTGAAACTGAGAGCTCCCGGGTCCTACCCTTCATGGCTCATTCCACTGAGCACGATGATGCTCTGGGGAGCGCACTGTTTCCGCTGTGGTTTGTAATCCAGCGGTCCGGCTTAGGTGGGAGATTCAGGTGTCACAGTAGGCTAGTGCGAGAAGATTCTTCTCATTCTCTGTATCAGGGACTGTTTAAGTGAGGGAGGTAGGAAATGTTACCTGAAGTGTTACCCGGCATAAGATGAAGCGATGAATATCTTCAGATCACACGGCCTTCTGATTATACCGTGGAGTAAGTTTCACTTTGGGGCTGGCCGTCTTTGTCACCGAAGCCCACCTCCCTTTTTAACAACAAGCCTCAGGCTCGGCACCTTGCAGAAAATCGAGTCAAATTAGAGATTAATGACACCGTTTCTGTTGTATTTGGTTTTGATTTTTGGCTACCTTCTGTTTATGGCAGTTGGTACTGGTCTCTGTGTGCAGTTGTGACCAGCGTGCGTGTTGAAGGAAGATAGGCCATAGGAAAGAGCCCCAGGGGCGAGACCCTAGCGGGGGAGTCGAGCCGCCCGCTCCTCCCTCATGGTTCTCTCCCTTCCTGACTGTGTTCCTTCCTGCTCTGTTTCCAGCAGACCCAGCCTGAGCCACTCCCCCCATTGCCCCTCCTGAGGCTCCTGTAGCGCTCCAGGAACAAGGGCTCCTTGTCTCCCTCATCTCTCAGCTGACAGCCCTCCTGGGTCCCCTCCCTCCTCTGAGGTGTGGGTGGAAAGGAGGCAGGGGCCACGTGGTGAAGGTGCCACCAAGAAAGGAGCTGGCCCTTTGCCTGAAGGCAGTGGGGAGCCATGGAATGTTCTGGGGTGGAGGAAGGAGAGTCCTCGCTGTATGTGGAGCTATGTGTAGGAAATGTGTGGAGCTGGCTGGTGTCTACTGAGGTTTGTTCTGAGGCTGAGGTGTTAAAACAGGCCCCTTAGGTTCTGACATCACCGCTCAGATTTCCCCAGAACCCGGAGCACCTGGCCCTGTTCTCACTCTGCCCTAGAGCTCTGCCTGCTCTCGGCCTCAGTTTCTTCTTTTGCAAAATGGAGCAACTCCTGTCTGGTGTACGTGAGGGGTGATGAAACAATGCCGTGTTTCCCAGACGTCAGTCATTTGCAAACCACTCTTGGGACCTTGCCAGCTCCTTGTGCCACCTGTTCCATTATTTACTTCATATTTTTTATTGACTTAGCCTTTGTTTTAAAAGACTTAAATAAACTTGTTTCAAAATGAAACATTATGTCATCTAAATGGGAAAAGCCAGTTTCACTTGCCATAAATAGAAGGTCATGGAAAAAATAAATGCAGTGCAAACAGTGCAATTCGGTGGCGGCTGCTCACTGTTGCCTGCAGACATGAGACTGACTGCTGCTTTTTCTGGGTTAAAATGGGAGCCCAGCAAGGGTCAGCCAGGTGGGAAAGGGAGGCCACAGTGCCCCGAGCGGCCATGTATCATCAGAAGGTGGTGGGAGAATCAAGAAGAGCCTTTCTCACCTTGAGAGGCACATTGTTGACCTGCGTGTCACCTGCCTCTGCAAGTTGTCCAGTCACAGCCGAGCTACCTCGTGGCTTGGGAAACACCAGGATGGCTGCGTGCACAGTGTCCCATGTCCCTGGCCTGAGCATCTGGCTGTTGTCCACACTGGCCTGGGAGGCGGCCCGTTCTCAATGCCCACAGGTCGGCAGTGCCCACCTTCTCCTGGGGCAGTCCCGACACAGGCCGAGTCTGCAGCGCGTGGGGGTCTGGGGCAGGCCTGCCCTGAGGTCGACAGGAACCAGAGTCCCCGCTTTGTGGTTTCAGAAGAGAATCTTCTGTCAGACAGCATGCTGGTGGAGGCACGGGAGGCCTCGGACGAGGACCTGCTGGTGGTGCACACAAGGCGCTATCTGAACGAGCTGAAGGTACAGGGCCTCGGGCCTGGGGGGCTGCTGGCTGGGAGGAATGGCCAAAGGAGGGGCAGCTGAGCCTGGGCAAGCACAGCCTCAAGGGGCTCCATTCCTGTCCCTAGCCCAGAGGGACCATGTGAGTCGTGGTCCCCAAGAGAAGGAGAGGTGTCATAAAAAGGGCAGGTACCAGGGATGGCTAGGCTGCTCCAGGGGTAGTGAGCTCTCTGTCCTGGGGAATGTGAAAGCGGGATGTTCTCTTGGTGGAGATTGAATCTTCATAAAGGTTTTGGGCTTTTACATAAGTGACCTTCAATCTGCTCTCTGTGGACAGGTCTCAGAGACCCCTGCTGGGAGCATGGGTGCGGGGACCCCAGCCACTTGTCCCCATCCCACCAAAGCTGTTCCACTTTGGTCTATTTTTATATTGGGCTGAGGTTTAAGGTTGTATTCTAAGGACTCCTACTGCTAAAGAATTGTCAAAACTGTGGAGCTAAAACCTAGTTTGGAGCTCCCAGGGCCCAGCAGGGGACGTCAGCAGGGGCCAGGCAGGCAGGGGCGGTGTCTGGGGGACCGGGCAGCTCCTGGCCCTCTCCCGCGAGTGGCTGCTCCTCAGCTCCACCATGGGCCCTGCGGGGCCAGAGCGCCTGGCTTTCAAAGAGAAGCCAGAGGGGCCGGCTCTGTGGCTGAGTGGTTAAGTTCGCGTGCTCCACTGCGGTGGCCCAGGGTTCGGATCCTGGGTGTGGACATGGCACTGCTCGTCAGGCCACGTTGAGGCGGCGTCCCACATCCCACAACTAGAAGGACCTGCAGCTAAGATATACAACTATGTACTGGGGGGGTTTGGGAAATAAAGCAGGAAAAACAAAAACAAAAACAAAAAAACAAAGAGAAGCCAGAAATCCAGATGATGAAGTGACACTCCCGATTTCTTATTGTGGCCACTTGTGACCTCTTTCGAGAGGAGCCCACATCACCATGTCCTGGCTGAGGCTCTGAGAGCGGAGGCACTCAGTGAGTCCCCAGGTGAGGCAGAGGGGAGGCTGGGCTGGGGGCCGCGTCTGAACCTGGTGCTGCCAGCCTGCCCAGGTGGGCTTGGGGAGCCACAGGGTCTCTGCCCCCAGCAGTCTGGGGACCCTAACCCCTGACCTCCAGGCTTCCCAACTGGACTCACTTTAGACTCAGAGCCATAGTGGCTGCCAGAGGTTGCCAGGTGAAAAAGCCTGGGCCCAGCAGGAGGCCCCACCTGCTAAGGTTAACCGAGATATCCTGCAGGTGTTGAGGGGACCCCAGGCGGGGTGTCCCATCTGGTCTTCCAGGTTCCGGCTCACAGCTGCCGTCGCCCTCCGCCCTGACTCTGCCTGAGCTGTGGGAATTCCAGATGGAGCATGAGTGTCAGCTCAGGAAAGATTACTATGTTGAAACCTGGCTCCTGGCAGAGAGAGGTGTTTGAGGCCCTGGCAGGGAGCCCGGCACTTGGCTGCCCTGGTTTCCTGGGGCCCGGACATGCGTGGTCACAGTCCACAGCCCAGGGACTGGGCCGGTAGATCGCGCCTTCCAGAGTCCAGAGGCTGAGGGTAGGGGGCAGGGTGGAGTGGGCATGCCACGATGAGGCTGGGCGTGGGCTCTGGAGCCCTACCCATTGGAGCCTTCACGGGAACTGTGCCGGGCTGACTGCATGCCTGGCCTTGGGCCCTCAAAAGCCTAAAGGCAGCTTACTATGTGATAGGTAATAATAAAAAATGTATTAATAGGTAGAGTCCCAAGCAGAAAATTAAGGTCCAGGGCAGGAGCAGAATTCAGATATGCCAACTGGAAGGATTAACCAGGATTATGATCGAGCTGCGTATTTGGCTTGGAGCTTCATGGCAGCCAGAGCAAAAGGAGAAACACGATGATCTCCATAGCACCTACTAAGGTGAAGAAGTATTTGGTCAGTCAACACATCTGAGTCGAATACTGACTCTATACTGGGTACAGAAAGAATAAGCGAACTTTCTGCTCCTGTAGAGTTGTGTTTTCGTTGTGAAAGACAACATAAAGAAGTAGCCACACAAGAAGATGTCAGAGAGTGCCGAGAGCTGTGAAGGAAAAGAAAAAATAGAGAGTAACAGGGTGAAGGTTGGCTCATGTGGACTGGGTGGTCCAGGAGGGCCTCACAGAGGGGGTGAGGTTTGCACTGGGACTGAAGAATGAAGAACAGGTGACACTCCTGTGGAGCTTTGGAGAAAGAATGTTCCAGAGTCACAGGCCTGGAGGAGGAAGGGACTTGAGTGGCCAGATGGAAGGGCCTGAAACGCAGCGGCACATGATGTGGTCAGGGAGGCCCGCAGTGCCAGGCCACACAGGGTCTTGTGGCCGTAGGAAGAGGCTGGGTCTTGTTCCAGGTACCACGGGAGGGCATGTGGTGCGACGTGCCCTTGACGCTCAGAGGAGACCCGTGTGCGTTTCCGGCACTGCCTGGCATCTGGGGAGCAGCTCGGGAAGGTCCGGTGTCTGCGTTTTGCTCTTTCCTCTGCTGTGGGCTCCCCGGCAGTGCCCCGGAGAGGTGCCGCGGGTTTCAAGGGTGCTTTTCCTTGCTTTTCTGTGCGTGCTGTTGAACGTCCACCTCTCCCCTGCCCCCACCCCTGTTCTGGGGCTCACGCCTGGCCCTGCGCGGCTGTGGCCTTTGGTGCTTAATAAACAGGGCACCGAAGGAGATGCAGTAGCCTGATGTTTGCCAGATCATGTCAATTCAGGCAAACAGATGTTTATTGAGCACCTGCTGTGTGCACGGCCCACAGCTGGCTCCATTGAGGTGGCAGTTGGGTTGGGCCGGCACTGGGATCTCGCCTTCTGCTGACCCTAGTGACAGTTTGCCATGGGGTGCGGGGTAGTGCGATAAAGATCTGACCTCTTGTCCTTGTGCCCGGGGCTGGGCGGTACTCCGACGGGTGTATCCAGCAAGTATTTGTGAGCACCATGCTCTGTTCCAGGTGTGGGGGAGACAGGATGCAACAAGAGATGGAGCTGCCGTTTGGGTGGGAATCAGCCAGTAGACACAATAAAGTCAACATTGTGGTGTGTTAGAAGGTGCTCGGTGCCGTGGGGCAAGTACAGTGGGAGGGGGTGGGGAGGCCTGCAGTTTGAAGTAGGGAGGTCAGGGAGGGGCTTACTGAGGGAATGGGCTGTGTGGGCCTCTGGAGGAGGGCATTCCAAGCAGAAGGACTGGCAGGTGCAAAGGCCCCGAGGCAGAAATGGCTTCAGTGTGTGCCAGTAACAGTGAGGAAGCCAGATGTGGCTGGCTCAGAGGGAAGGGGAGGGAGACGGGAAAGAAGTGGGGTGAGAACATGGTCAGGGGCCAGACCACACAGGGCCTTGCATGCGGCCATGGCCGTGATCTGAGGGAGGTGGGAGCCAGGGCGCGTTGAAGCAGAGGAACATGAGCTGAGCTAGGTTTTAACAGGATTTAACAGGCAGATGAGACGAGAATGGATGAGAACAGGCTGTCAAGACAAAAGCGGGCAGAGCGGTAGGCGGGAGGTCGTTGCAGGAATCCTGGTGAGACCTTGGGCTCCCGGACTAGGCTGGCAGCAGCTGCTGTGGGCTGGCGGGAAGTGGTAGGCTTTGGGGTTTGTTATGAAGTTGAAACAAAAGATTTTCTGTTGTTCAGATTGGGTATGCGAGAGAAAGAAGCCAAGGACACCTCGGAAATTTTGGCCTGTGCCCCGGGAAGTCTGGGCACGGCTCCCCGCGGCCCTGGGAGCCCTGTGGGAGACAGGGAGGGCAGCACAGGGCCCAGAGGGAGGGCAGAAGTCGGAGAGTCTCTGGGGGACCCGGATGCCAGGGCCTGCTTCTCTCCCTCTTACTTGTCTTCCCTGAGGGCCCCCCTCCCTTTTTTTTGTTGTGATAAAATTCACATAACATAAAATTAATAATTAGCCATTTTAAAGTGTAAAGTTCAGTGGCATTTACTACATTTATGGTGTGGTGCACCCACCACCTCCATGTAGGTCTGAAACATTTTCATCGCCCCCAAAGGAAACACCGTTCCTCCCTCCCTGTCTGCCCCTGTGACCACCAATCTGTGTCTCTGTGGGTTCCCCTTTTCTGGACATTTCACATACGTGGAATCCTGCGATAATGTGGCCGTTGGGGTTTGGCTGCTTTCACCAAGCACAGCGTTTTCCAGAATCGTCCACTTTGTAGCATGTATCTGTGCTTCATCCCTTATGACGGCTGACTAATATTCCACTGTCCGGATAGCCCACATCTGGTTATCTGTTCGTCACCTGGTGGACATTTGAGTTGTTTCCAGCGTTGGGCCTTTGTGCGTAGTGTTGCTGTGGACGTTTGTGTACAGGATGCGTTTGAGTTCCTGTTTTCAACTCTTTTGCCTAAGAGTGGAATTGCTCAGTCATGTGGTGATTCTGTTTAACTCTTTGAGGCCCCACCACAGGGGTTCCCACAGCAGCTGCACGGGCTCTGCTCCTAGCAACTGTGCACGAGGGCTCCACTCTCTCTGCATCCTCACCAACACTTGTTATTTTCTGTTTTTTTGATTGTGGCCAATTTAGTGGGTGTGAAGTGGTGTCTCATTGTGGTTGTGATTTGCATTTTGCTGGTTGTTAATGAAAGTGAGCACCTTTTCATGTGCTTCTTGGCCATTCACATATCTTCTTTGAAGAAATATCTATTCCAGCTGTTGGTCTATTTTAAAAATTGGGTCGTTTGTCTTTTTATTATTGAGTTGTAGGAGTTCCTTATATATTCTGGATAGTACATGATTTGCAAATAATCCTTTCTCCCATTCTGTGGGTTGTCTTTTCGCTCGTGAAAAAGACTCATGTCTTTTTCCGCATGAAGTTTTAAAATTTTACCAAAGTTCAATTTATCTCTTTTTTTCCGTTTGATGCTTGTGCTTTTGGTGTCATATTTAAGACTCCTTTGCCAAATTTAAGGTCATGAAGATTTACCCCTTTGTTTTCTTCTAATAATTTTATAGTCTTAGTTTACGTTTAGGTCTTTGCTCCATTTTG